GGCATCTGTGGGAGGAAGCTGGCTGTGCCCTGACAGTCCCAGGACTAATATGGGAAAGATACCTGGATTCCGGGGATCCTCAAATGACGAATGCCCACTACTTATAGGAATGCTAGATGATTCGGCATGATTTAGTTATGTTTATACTGTATTTAAGATGGTAGGAAAAGAGTTGGTGTTTTAAGCATATTTTCTGAAAGCCAATAAAGAAGAGAAAAAGTAAATATATTTGCAAGAAAAAGAGGACCGATTGGATTTTGGTAGGTGGTAGTGGGGCGGAGAGAGAAAACACGGGGACAGTGGATGAAGAATGATGTTTAGTTTTCTGGTTTGGGGGCTCAGTTAATGGAGGTGCCACTTACTGAGAGGGAGGACAGAAAAGAAGGATCACGTGTGTGCTTTCTTAAGGTGATCTCCACTGTGGGCACGGTGTATTCATTGTGCCTACAGGACATTTTACGAGCTAGTGAGCAGATGAGGATTTGGACGTGCAGTTCTGAAGCTGGACTAACATGGGAATTACGAGTCACAAGCATATTGACAGGAATTTAATCTTTGGAATTGGGTGCGGTGCCCAGTGAAAACTGAAGTGGGGAAGACAGGGATTTAGAGCATAACCCTCATGGTTATGGGCACAGGAAGAGGAGCCCATAAAGCAGCTGAGGAAGTTGGACCCAAGTTGCAGAGGAAATGCAAGATAATGTTTATCTTCCCTACTGAGACTTCCTAAGTTACATGTTCTAGAACAATCATTTTCAAGCATTAAATGTCTATCAAAATCACCTGGTGTGCTTGTCAAAAATTTGGTTTCCTGGACCCACCTCCAGAGCCTCCTAGATAGCAGTGCAGAGTGGTAGCCATTTCTGCATTTTTTTATGATGATTTTTATTTTTATTTTTTATTTTAATATATTTTATTGATTTTTTTACAGAAAGGAAGGGAGAGGGATAGAGAGTTAGAAACACCGATCAGCTGCCTCCTGCACACTTCCTACTGGGGATGTGCCTGCAACCAAGGTACACGCCCTTGACCGGAATGACGCTCTATCCACTGAGCCAAACTGGTTAGGGCCATTTCTGCATTTTTAACAGGCATCCAAGATGATTGTAACAAAGGTGATACGGGAAATGTACCTTGAGAAACGCCTTTCTAGGAGACAGTGTGACAGCAAGGCTTTGGAATCAGACTTACGTTAGGGTCCTGGCTTTTTCCACTTACTGGTTGTGTGGCCATGAGCAAGTTGGTTACTTTCAGGCTTGTTTCCCCGTCAGTGCTGGCGATATAATAAAGACCTCCTCTCTCTTAGAATTATTCCAGGGTGTATAGGAGACATACTCCATTAAATTCCTGGCATATAGAAGGAGCTCAGTAAATGTCAGTTGTCTTTTTGACACTTGAAAAACCCAGAACACAGCTGTAAACCTAAAGCCAGGGAAGAAGGAGAAGGAAATAGCTATCATTAACCTCATGCATTTTGTTTTGTAAGAGATCAGAGCCAACTGCTTTTTACCTTGAGCCTACTGAATTAGAATTGTGTGAAATTAAGTTACTGATTTAATAGATTTCATTATCTAGGTTTCTCCTGGCAGCCTTTAGTTCTATAGACATTAAATTCCAACAGCATGATATAGGCAAGGTTAAAGTGTGAAATAGAAGCTGAGGGAAATTTAATAGAGGGACAAACACCTAAAAAATCTTGAGGGCATCAATGTGTTGTAACAATATAAAAACTAACATTCAAGTTAATACTACAAGATCATCAAGGAAATGTTAAATTACGTTTAAAAGAATTGTTTGAGAAGTGGGGAATAGATATTTCAGAAAAATTTCCATTATAATTACTAACATTTTAGAGCTTGGGCACTTAAAGGAATAACCTTCTGCTATTTGGGAAGTTCACTGAAATGAAATATTTTATTCATCTTTTGAAGTCTGAGTAGATGAACTTATATGACCGTATTTCTCTTGTGATTGGCAGGTTACTATTTTTAACAATCTGCCTCAAGTCAACAGGTGACCTTGAAACTATCCCTGCACTGGGGAACTAACCTATTTATGAATTATTATGAATTGCCATTGAATGCTAAGGTTTCTCCTTTGTCTCTGTCTCAAAGAGAGGCTGGTGTGAAGGGAGAAGACCAGGGTCTTATCATAGCCATTTTTTGCTCATTTCATGTCTTGAGCTTCCTATCTCACACTGGCTAATTGGAAATATGGCTACTTTATGGTTATGGGTTTGCAAAAGCTATTGAGAAAGAGTAATGAATGTCCCTCCATTTTCTTCAATCTTTCTGGTACTATACTCCTACCCCCACTTGGATGTTTATATGATTATTTATCCTCTAATATTCAGCAATCAGCTGAATAGGTCTAGGTATTAGTTGCTTCTGACTACTTTCGTATGTTGTAGTGAAAATTTAATCCATTTGCAGTCTAGTGGATCATTAATGTTTCAGGAGCACTTACGAGAAGGTAGAAAAGGTCTGGTAAGGTGTTACTAACTTCTGTCTCACTTTACCTATAATGCTACCTCACTTGTTTTAAGTGTTCAGTATAAATTTGTTGAATGAGTGGATGAATGACTTAGTCTTCTTTGAGAATATTAGAAGAACCAACTGTGCTTAACCATTTATTATTATTACTAGAGGCCTGGTGCACAAAATGTGTGCACTTGGGCGGGGGGGGGGGGGTCCTGTTAGCCTGGTCTGCACCCTCTCTCGGGGAGCAGGCCTAAGCCATCAGTCAGACATCCTTAGCGCTGCCTCGGAGGCGGGAGAGGCTCCCGCCACCACCGCTGCGCTCGCCAGCCATGAGCCCGGCTTCTGGATGAGCAGCGCTCCCCTTGTGGGACTGGGCCAAAACTGGCTCTCTGACATCCCCCCAGGGGTCCCGGATTGTGAGAGGGCGCTGGCCAGGCCGAGGGACTCCACTGGTGCACCATTGGGGCCAGGGAGGGACAGGGGAGGTTGGATAGCCAGGGAGGGACTGTGGGAGGACTCCAGGGCGTGTCCGGCCCTTCTTGCTCAGTCACGATCAGCAGGACCCCAGCAGCAAGCTAACCTACCGGTCAGAGCTTCTGCCCCCTGGTGGTCAGTGCATGTCATAGTAAGTGGTTGAGCAGCCTTAGCATATCATTAGCATATTATGCTTTGATTGGTTGAATGGCCAACTGGACGACTGGACACTTAGCATATTAGGCTTTTATTATATAGGATTATTATTATAGTTGTTCCCCAATATTATTGTCCTAGCGAGGTATTTTGCAAAACATGTCCTGGGATTACCGTTCCATAAAATGTTCTGTGAAAAAGGGTTCCATGGACAAGTATTTTGGGAAATGCTGCATTCTAAATCTTTCTCCTAGAAAGTCAATTAATATGTGAATATATTAAGGACCTAAAGAAGGCCTGCACTAACAAAACCTCTTTAAGTTTATTTAATTCAGAATTTCCCAAACTTACTTGATCATAGAAGCCTATTCATATCCCATAAAGCATATTTTAGTAAATGCTGTGTTAATTTTTAGAATTTTTCTGAGTTCATTGTAGACTGTTTCCACAAAGCAAACTTCACATTTTTGAATCTGAATTGTTTATTCAATCAACCAAAGAGATGTAAATTATGAATGAAAATGATTAGAATGTCCAGATTTAAGTCAGGAATTGCTAACTCAGATGATTTTTCCATTTGATGTTTTGAACAAGATGTAATCCGGATAACCTTTTAAAAATGTATGTTACTTCAGGCATTAAATTAGTATATTTAAGAAAAGGAGATATATATTATTTGGTACATTGAGCTGAGAGAGCCCATCACCCCACAATGTGGAAGCATTTTTATATTTGCCCTGAGCTCAGTAAGAAAGACAGCTGTGCCCTGACTGGTTTGGCTCAGTGGATAGAGCATCGGCCTATGGACTCAAGGGTCCCAGGTTCGATTCCTGTCAAGGGCATGTACCTTGGTTGCGGGCACATCCCCGGTGTGGGGTGTGCAGGAGGCGGCTGATTGATGTTTCTCTCTCATTGATGTTTCTAACTCTCTATCCCTCTCCCTTCCTTTCTATAAAAAATCAATAAAATATATTTTTAAAAAAAGAAAGACAGCTGTCCTTATTATTTAAACTAGAAAATAATCTAGAAAATAGACCTAGAGCTGCACAGCTTTTCTATGAAAATGGCATAACTGGATGAAATAGGAAAGCTAATTTTATTAGATCAGAGTATCAAATCCGTTGTTGTATTCCTGCTTTATTTTTCTTTAGTATCTGACTGAAGCTCAATTCGTGTTTTCTTTTGACACTTCATCATATGAGATTCAAATGTGCTTTACTAGTTTAATTGTTCACTGACTGGTTAAGAAACCTACGTTCTTTGGTTTGGTTTTAGTAACTAATGCTTCTCTACTTGCTTTACCACTCCTCTCCATCCAAATACTTTGTTATCCCCTCACATCTTTTAATAATTAATTTTGTTTTGTTCTGCTTTGTTTTTCAAATTTAGAGTTTTATTCATGTGAATTTAGGAATTTTTTAAAAGAAAAGTTGCATTTTAGAGGCTTTAGAGGGTGGTGAGGGAGGATGGTGATGAGAAGAGATAGTGGTAAATAAAGCCCAGGAATCTTCATCTAGTCAGGTTCCCCACTGGCTTACTAAGTCTGAAAGAACCACGGGTTTGTAGAGGAAATTCAAGAGCTCCAGTTCTTGAAATTTTTGTACATAAAACTGTCTTATTTCCATAGATCCTTCTAAATAAGACCACTATTTTCAGACCTCTTTCTCTGGTTCACTAATATATCCTTTTAAAACCCAACCGTCCCAAATACTTATATGCTTTTAGAATTAAAAGTGATATCTAGAAACATTATTTAAGCATTATGTTATGAAAGCAATATTACCAAAAATGACTCCCAGAATTGACAAAGAAAATCTAAATAAAAGATAATTGGCCATTTGTACTCAGCTGTAATAAATGAAATTTTGACTTTCATTTTATCTTCCACAGACAAACAGCAGAAAGGTGAATTTGCAATTGATGGCTACCACGTCAGAATGAATAACACTCTTAGGAAGGATGCAAAGAAAGATTGCTGTTTTGAAATCTCTGCTCCTGATAAACGTGTCTATCAGGTTGGAGTTTTTATGTTGTTTTGAAATTAAGTTGATAAAATGTTCTGATTTCATTTATAAAGACATTAACATTTTGTTGAAACAACTCTCCCTGACATGTTAATAATAAAAAAAATATTGGTTTTTATGCATTGAACATTCACCAAAGAGGTAATACATTTTAAAAAATTCAGATTAGTTCAAGTGATATCTTCTTGAAAGAGAACAAGTGAATATGTAATTTATCAGTTACCTCACATGTTGCATTTTATGTCTCTTAAGAGAACCGTGTGATTTCTTAAAAGAATTACATAGCAAAAAGAGTAAAATTATCAAAAGAAAACTATCAGAGTGTTAATGCAGATTGCATGGCTTAGGGTTGTGGGAGAAAATGAAAGTAAGGGCACGAATCAGCTTTGCAATTCAGGAGCTATCAGCGAGCATCAATATGGAATGTATGTTTAATAAGTTTTAAATATCTGAGATTGCAGTTGAAAGCCAGTTAATTAAGTTGTCAGATAGTGTGTTGGAATCTGACAAGAACATTTTTAAGAAAACTGTACCCAGCAGTCTAAAGAAATTCATGGGTGTCTTCTAATTGTCAAGGGCAAATTTTGTTCATCAGTTCTGTCTTTGACATTGATGGAGAGAAGCAGCTTTTTTTCCTGCACAGCTGCCAGCTGCTGATCAGAGTTTCAAATCCATCATCCTCTGCTTCAATTACGTAAATTTGTCAAAATTAACTGTACATTATAAGAAGCATCCTTGCAAGAAAAGTAGTACTAGACATGAAAAGAATTACTAATGGTCTTCAAGAAATGATAAGAATGGGACATACTTTCTTTTCTACTGTGGTGATTTTTCTTGTTATTGTTTGTTTTTTTATTAGTTCACAGCAGCTTCTCCCAAAGATGCCGAAGAATGGGTACAGCAGCTGAAATTTTTATTACAAGGTAAGAGCAATCAATTGAACAAGTTATTGCAGCCTTTAAATACTGAATAACTGAAGGATTTGGATTTTTGTATGTCAAAAGCTTATTGAATTTCTGTGAGAATGACCAGGGGACATATATGACTGGTATTAATACAGACCATTGACTGCAGATTTAGAAAAGTATTCTGTAAGTTCCAATTGGCAATTTGAAATTCCCATATTTATGCACAAATCAGTATTTTAAAATGTTTTAAGTTAAGGATATAGCATATAATGATCTTGTGATTTTGTAAGGCTACATTCATTTAGAAAATAGGGTTTTGAAAATCTCTTTTGCGTTTTTTACAAGTGATGAACAAGTAAGCATTAATGAGTTTAATGGCATTACACATTCAAGATGTTTGCTTCCCGAAACGTGTTTTGTAGATATGGGATCTGATATTATTCCTGAGGAGGATGAAGAAGGAGGAGAATTATATGATGATGTTGATCATCCTCTACCGACCAGCAGTTCACTAGCCAGCAGTCAACCAATTGATGATGAAATTTATGAAGAACTTCCAGGTATTTATTGTCTGGTTATTCATTTAGGATTTAAGAACTTTTCTTTATTTTTAATGTCATCAAGTTGACAACTTAAGTAGAAAATGATGAGCTATTAAGAACAAGGGCAAAGAAAATCTTTAAAATTCTATTTTACAAAAAGTGTTCTGTTTGAGGTATTTCAAGTGAGTGGATGTACACTTATGAAAAGTGAACGGAATGTTAAAATGAAGCAGATACAGTCCTAATCTCATGGGACTTTTGGCTCATTAGCATTGTTTATGCTACATAATTTTTTAATTAAAAAATTGACTTGCTTTACAGTTTTTTCCACCAACTCACACATCATTTTTTATTTATACATCTTGGAACTTCCATTAACCAGAAGTTCTGTGCATACCCCATATGTCAACAACTTCTGCCTCATGTATTCCTCCTCACTCTAGTGTATAGCATTGTCTTAGAGCAGCGGTTCTCAACCTGTGGGTCGCGATCCCTTTGGGGGTCGAACGACCCTTTCACAGGGGTCGCCTAAGACCATCGGAAAACACATATATAATTACATATTGTTTTTGTGATTAATCACTATGCTTTAATTATGTTCAATTTGTAACAATGAAAATACATCCTGCATATCAGATATTTACATTACGATTCATAACAGTAGCAAAATTACAGTTATGAAGTAGCAATGAAAATAATTTTATGGTTGGGGGTCACCACAACATGAGGAACTGTATTAAAGGGTCGCGGCATTAGGTAGGTTGAGAACCACTGTCTTAGAGAAATATTGTTGAACTATAAACAAAGGCCCTTTAAAACTTGGATTTTTCTTATTTCATATTTCATCGATAAGAATGTTTTCTTATTCTGCATTTTCAAGCATGCTTTAGTGTTTGTATGCCTTGGTATCTGTTTCATAACAAAATTAATTGTCTATTAGCTTATTTCACTTATAGTTTTAAGGTCAACCTAAAATATAAAGATAGGCATGTGGAACTTAGGATACTTAGAATATGAAAACATTCAGGGAATTATCGCATTACTCTAGATGAAATGAGCCCCTTTTCTGGCCATTAAAAATCTGCAGAGAATAAAAAGGGTTATAAGCAGTATACTAGTAATCCTTTAACATCATCTAGAGAGGCTATTTTTCTCTGAATAGAACAATTTAATGACATAGTGTAAACCTTAAAATTGATTTCAAAAATACTTAAAATGTTCCAAATTAATGTACAAATGTCATTTTCATTGAAGTCAGTAGAGCATAATAACTAGCACATGGACTTTAGAATCAGAAAGTTTAAATTCTGGCTGTACCATCTAGCCCTGTGACTTTAAAAGTCAATTTCTTCACTTATAAAATGGGAAGAATATCATGGTTCGGGGGGGGGCGGGCAGCTAATATATATAAAGCTCTCAGCACCATGCTTGAATCATAGAAAGTCCACAATAAATTTTACATCACTATTATTTTCATTATTGTATCTGGTAAATTCTTACCAATGTTTATATGAGGTCAAAGAATAATTTTCTGAATAAGTAAGAATTAGTGAGTTTTTAAAATATATTTTTATTGATTTAAAAGAGGAAGGGAGAGGGAGAGAGAGATAGAAACATCAATGATGAGAGAGAATTATTGATCAGCTGCCTCCTGCACACCCCACACTGGGGATCGAGCCCACAACCCGGGCATGTGCCCTGACTGGGAATTGAACTGTGACCTCCTGGTTCATAGGTCAATGCTCAACCACTGAGCCATGCTAGTTGGGCAAGAATTAGTGATTTTAATGGTATTATACATTCAAAATATTATAAAAACTACTCAAAATATGTGTCTACATATTGTCTTTCACTACCCCAGAAGAAGACAATTAGTATAAAAGCATACCTTTGTGGGGAATAGTAATCTGTATATTTTTGTTAATTTTAATGAGCTATGTGTTTATAGCTCCTCCTTTCTGATTTATCCTAAGGAAATGACATCTGCCATAGCATTAGTCATCCTCAAGTAGGGAAGACTATTCTCTGCTTGCTTTTATCACACCATATCATTAATACAATTATTTTAGTTTAAACATGTTCTTAAGAGCTTGTGAGAATGTATACTGATGTCAAATGGAAGAGTATAATCTCTTTAACTATATTATTGTCATGTACTTTTCACTACTTTAAAACCCTGCAGTGAATGAGTCACATTACAGTTGTTGATTAGCTGTTAATTAAGTTGTGTTTCTTCAACTTGATCATTCTCTCCTCATGCTCCCAAATAAAATATTGGTAAAGAATAAAGGTCAAACATTCGTAGTCATCTATAATAATAAAAGCGTAATATGCTAATTAGACCGGACAGCCAAATGACCTTCCGGACATCATTCCGAACATCCTTCCGGACGAAGCGGTAGTGGTAGGGGCGGAGACAGAGGCAATTAGAGGTGATCAGGCAGGCAGGCAGGCAGGCAAGCAGTTAGGGGCGATCAAACAGACAAGTAGAGTGGTTAGGGGTGATCAGGTGAACGGTTAGGAGCCAGAGGTCCCAGATTGTGAGAGGGATGTCCAACTGCCGGTTTAGGCCTGATCCTATAGGGGTCCCCGATTGCGAGAGGGTGAGAGGGTGCAGGCTGGGCTGAGGGGCCTCCTCCCACCCCTGTGCACAAATTTTGTGCACCAGGTCTCTAGTTTTTATAATAAAGGCCCAGTGAAAATCTCCTGGAAATAGCTTAAAATCTTAAAAATATGAAACATCTTTTATTTTCTCTCACTACAGATGTTCTTCTTTTCCCCTTTTTTTGGCCTGGGCCCATATGATTGTTGGAAAAAACTGGTTACTCTTTAGTCTTATTTCTTGCTGAGGTACTGGAAGAAACCTAAGCTGCTCTGGGATTCCGTGGCCCCTGCCTGGGATACCAGTTGCTGTACAAAGTGATTGAGCTCGTAGAGCCTGCAACTGTGCCCCCGGGAAGGAAGCTGATGCAGGCAGCTGAGGAATGTGTAGTCTTCTTTCTTCCCCAGTGGAACCGAGACCCGCTTCAGCATCTGCACAGTTCAAGTTTGTCAAGTTTCAGCCAGTTGCTACAGAGGGGATTTTTCTTAGTAAAAGCCCTAAAGTTGCCTCTTAGTAGAGCTTTTGTTTGATTAAATATCTAAACCTAGAAAGGTAACTTTTTTCCTTTAAAAAGAAAAAATCCTGCCTCCAGGATAAAAATTAAGCTAATTGCTTTCACTTGGGTGAAATAGGAATATAATTCTGAGAGGAAGTGAAAACAGTAGAAAAGCAGTGAATGTATTTACAAACTGTTGGTGTTTTTCCAGTTCTGTACAAAGAACTGCATTTCTCAGAAATCTGACTGGTTAAATTCCCAGAATTAATAAATATGACCATTTCAACACAACTTTCTGTCAATTACATATAGTTGAAAACGAATCCCCTTAGTTGAAAGATAAAGCCTATCGTATGTTTGAAGAAAAATCTAAGCATTCAATACATATTACTTTAAATCACAGAGTTCTACTGAGAAAGTACAGCTCTGATTCTAATAAATGTATTTTTAATGTAAAATAAACCTGCAGTGTTTAAGTCTCAAGAGTAAGAAGAAGAAAACACTGTTTAAAAAATTGTATTGCAAAATATCCCTTGAAAAATGTTTATAATCTATGGGAGTATAAGTAGTTTCATTGTAATTGTTTTTCAGTTAGAATATTCTAACTTTATTACAGCAGCTTCTCTTTAATTTCTTGTTCATTAATTTTTAACTACATAAAAGAGTAAGAATAAATTTTTAAGATTTCTTTGCATTTAGGGGATTTTACATATGTACAGAAAAGTTGAGAGTGCGAGATTTCTGGGGAAAACTAAAAGTATGTGCCTTTTTCTTCAAATACCCTACTGTTTTGACACCTTTTATGTCTTAGGACCTATGAGCATAGGCCAAGTCAGGTTTGCTTACATTGTGATATTACTCTAGCATGTTTGTGTTTTCAGAGCTAATGTATTGATCAAAGTGCGTTAAACTGTTCCATAACACAGTAATGAGTTCATTTGGCTTAGCACGAATTTCAGAAGTAATTGCTCATTTTCCATTAGAAATGCGGAGGAGCATTTTTATTTGATTTTTGAATCTTGAAAAGAGAAAATAGTATGTGGGAAATTGCCGCAGAAATTAACCCAACTTACTCATCTTTTCTAGTTACCATGTCACTTGCTTTTTAATTTTTTTTATTTTTTATGTCAGGAAATTATGCAGAAGCAACAGAAACAAAAAAGATTTTTCTAGATATAGACTGAATAGAATTAGCCCAGTAATAAGAATGGAAACCACTCATTAGTCTATTAATCTGTAGCTTTCAGGGGAATTGCATTTGAAATCCTCTGGCAAGTAGACTAAAGGGGAGGGCACAACATAAAGCAGGAAGACAAATTTCCAGTTCCATTAACCTGTTTTTTAAAAGTGTTAATTCATTCCTTTTTAAAAATTTTAATGACAGATTGAACTAATCTGAGCCAGAAAAGGATGTTTTTCTCCTTTGATCATTCAATTTCATTTTAAATTTATTCAGTCCTACTATCTGTATTGAAAATGGAATATGAAGCAAAAGGCAGCTGTTAATTTTTTTTACAGTGAAACTCTTATGTATACATAAAAAAGAACACTTTGGGTATTTAAATTTGGAGTATTCTCCAGCAAGTGGACACAAATGCTAACATCATCAATAAGTGCTTAAAACCCCTAAAATACATTTCAGCTCTATTTTCTTGTGGAAAGATGATCAGTCATATTACCAAGTTAATATATGCCTTTGGCATTAACATCATTATAAGTGATGGTAAGTTCTGGTTTCACCAAAGAATTTTTTTCATTCTTTCTTTAGAATTCAATGGAAAGATACCAGTTGACTTTCATGGAACCACCTATATTCATCATTTTAATATGTTAATTCAGGCAGTCTGCTGGCATTCTTTTTTCTAAACTATGGTACTGAATGATAAAGTTATAATATACGTTGTGATTAATTTTTTCCCA